ACAAAAAAACTTGTTCTTTCAAGTTAGTTTCCGGTGTTGACATGCAAACTGGTATTGATTATTACCTCATTTTCTATTGAGGACATTTTTGAAAACCTCATGTAAGACGGGATTTTGTAATATTTATGGGTGGAACTATCATTATGTGGAGCAGTGTATTTCCAGGATGAGGAGTCGCTTACTGTGATCAGTGCGACTATCTAGTGAGAAGGTGGTGTGTTCAGTGATGGTCCCAGTCGATTCGATACTGGACGTCCTCGCGAATTTCTTATGGAATATCAGCTTCGCTACGCGGCTCACTTCCTCTTTTTTTACTCATTCATCTTGACGTGAGCAAGCTACGAAAGCAGCGGTCTGGAGACAGCGCGGTGGCAGCTGTTATTCCTCTCGTTACACAGAAAGGAAATCACCTTCGTATGACTTAGGTTACACCAGCTCTACGCTTTGAAGGGATGTTTAGAGCTTTTGAAACGTTATAAAGACGGGAAAGATCACAGGAAGATGAAGTTTCCGTCATGGGGAAAAAGGGAACTCTCAGCTCTATACTGTAATAGAAGTGGGTGACTCCACCACTATCGGAAAAGAAGCAAGACCCAGCCGCTAGGGTCCCCAGTGTGGACCACAAAAAGCCATTATGACCAGGAAAATCTACTGATATGGACAGCATTTGCTCACCCTTTCCTAAGTGATGTTGCGTACCTTTTCCATAATATGCCCCCACGACATGCTTGCGAGCGGTGTGTATGTATGTGTGGGTGACAATTGTCACGAATATTTTGCCAGGCAAAGACATACCTGCCTCACTACGTCGAGAGCATTACAGTAGGAATCACTTGCCTGAGCAGCAGATGTCTCAGTGAGAGGGCGTGGCTAAGAATTTGCCATAGCTCGGGCAAGTCTATCCACAGGACACCCGCACATCGCAATGGACCACGAGAATGATCCCGGTTGGCAGTACCTGCGCCGCTCACGCGAGCAGGCCCTGGAGGTACGTGTCCATGCTTAAGTTGTCACTCCTTCCTATTGCTCATTCTTGCTGGCTGGTTCCTCTTTACCCAATCCTTCGTAGCTGAACTCGTTTATCCTTCATTCCTTTCCTTTAATCCTCTCCTTTTCCTTCCTTCACTTGTGTTATGCAATACTTTCCGATTTTTTTGACAAATGACTTGTAATTTTCAGCCTCAGAACCCTCAGAACTTAATAGTGCTCGATATTGCCATCAAGTCCTATAGGACGAGCATTCTGTTCCCTACCCACGCACGATTGTTGGGATACCGTGGGAGCCCTTCATAACAGAACCCTCAGGTTAAGCTTAGGGGCCAAGCATGAGCCACCTTCTAGGTAATCTATGTGTGCCTTGATGGTCGCTTTTCATCTACTCCTCGTCAACCTGCAGACCTTCTCTGGACATCGCTGCGTAGTAGGTTGATTCTGTAATGGTCCCCGGGTTCAAGTAGCCTTCGTAGTGTAAACTCCGTCTCCATTCTTCCTAAGATAAATCTCCAGATTTCTCTCTACAGAAGAAGGCGTTCCAAACCCGGCAAGCCCATAGCCTCCGAAAGGGTGACTTGAACCTATTCGTGACAGTGGCTCACTACTTAGGGTGGACTTCCGTTGGGAGAATAAACACCACCCTTGACCATTTCAAAAATGAACCATTCAGTTGGAGCCAAGATCATTTTAACTACTGCTGGTAGATGTGGCCTTGACTGCGAATGGGTTTGAACAGTTTCTCAGACTCGTTCCTGGTGAAAGTCACCTTGGGCTACTCCTTGAAATTGTACTTTCCTCCGATTACTACAAGTCACCATACCCCTATTAGCCTTTCCAAACTAGTGAAGGTATGATATTGAACACAATCTTTTCCAGGACCAATCGAAGCCATACGATTCAAAGAAAAACTGCTGGGTTCCTGACGTAGACGATGGATATGTGGCTGCCGAAATCACCTCCACAAAGGGTGACCAAGTCACTTGCGTCACCGCTCGTGGAAACGAAGTAAGTCAGCGTTTCCAGTTTTGGATTTTACCTCACTGAATGAAATGCCGGAGATCGCTGCCGTCCCTACACTCCACTCCACATTGCTAACAGCTGTCGGTTTTTCTTTTACGAGTCGTGGGTGCCGCTGTGGCATGCGGTGTAATATGCAGCACACGTGTAGAGGAGAGTTTCTAAACTGCCAGGGACTTACGATGATCCTATAGGGAAAAGATGCATGCATAAAATACGGTGGTGGGAAACAAACTGTCCAGCGCGACACTCAACTGAAGGACTGAAAGCTGGGGAAAAAAATTCGGCGTCGAGATTGCGAAATGAGCTGCGCGTTTCGCTTCCATTTGGAACCGCTGTGGCATATTTTACGCGATATGGCCCTATGCCCGTCCAGCCGATGTAGGCTACTGTGCTTTTTTCCACACAGACAAGTCTGGTACTATTTAACCGATCGCGGAGGGATGGAATGTCAGACTGGCCTGGTCCGGAAGCCATCTAAGATTTTACCCCTGGACCGTGCTCATGGGAGCGGTTCCACTTATCACTACACCTCTTCCGTCCCATGAATTACTAAAGTCTCCATAATTTCAGGTGACACTCAAGAAGGAGCTGGTACAGGAGATGAATCCGCCAAAGTTCGAGAAGACCGAGGACATGTCCAATCTGACCTTCTTGAATGACGCTTCTGTACTTCACAACTTGAGATCTCGTTATTCAGCTATGTTGATCTATGTGAGTTCTACTGCTCTTTTTCAAGCTCGTTTCGAGTCAAAACAGATGGAATCCCTGGGAAGAGTGATGCTAGTGCTCTCGCCTCATTGAACAAGTTTACACTGCTTCGCCACGGATCAGACTCATATGTCTCACAACGATTGCTTCCTCGATTTAACGGGCTCCAAGAGATCTATGGAATGATCTCAACGACCCCAGCATACCTGAAAGACTGGGGATAAATATGGATTCACAAAAAACGTTTAGGATGGTTCAAGTCAGGGCCCATCGTCGTAGCGTGGAGAATAAAGGCATTAGTACCACCTCCTCCCTTTTGGGAGAGAATTTTACTACTTCCCTCTACTCACCAAATCAACCACAGCCACCACAAATTCCTCCTTTGATGAATACGCCTAGCCCTAGCAAAGAAAACTAAAAGCCTCTAAATCTTCCTAAATATCTCTACTAATGCCGATTACTCCCAGAAATCTAAAATGAGAAGCTGGTGGGAACTGATTTGGGTCATTTTGCGACCTCACCTCCATCAACTTTTTGGTACGATGACTGCTGTTTCACGCCGCAGTTTGAGCTCCAAGGGTCATCACAATGTTCAGCTAGCTATGGGCAAAATCAGGTCCTATGCGAGACTCGAACCCACGTTCGCTGGGCGGGAGAGTGCGCTATCCGCCAAATTTCTGAGAGACATCTGTGAACTTTTTCTCATTATGAGATTCTTATTGGTGGCCCACAACGAATTAGTTCATTTCAGACATACTCCGGTCTTTTCTGTGTTGTGATCAACCCCTACAAGAGACTTCCCATCTACACAGAGTCGGTGGCCAGGATGTTCATGGGCAAGCGTAGAACTGAAATGCCTCCCCATCTGTTCGCCGTTTCCGACCAGGCCTACAGAAACATGTTGCAAGACCACGAAAACCAGTCTATGCTCATTACAGGAGAATCCGGAGCAGGAAAGACTGAGAACACCAAGAAGGTAACAAGAACTTCTTTATTTTTGTGATTCCGACAAGAATAAACAAAAATATTTAGGTAATTGCGTACTTTGCAACCGTTGGTGCCAGTCAACAAGAGGTTAAAGTCAGTTCTGACAAGAAAGTCACCCTCGAGGACCAGATTGTCCAGACTAACCCTGTACTCGAGGCGTTTGGTAACGCCAAGACTGTCCGTAACAACAACAGTTCACGTTTCGGAAAGTTCATCCGAATTCACTTCTCCAAAGCTGGAAAACTTGCCTCTTGCGACATTGAGCATTATCTCCTTGAGAAGTCTCGTGTAATTCGTCAAGCGCCAGGAGAGCGTTGCTACCACATTTTCTACCAGATTTTCTCTGACTACAAACCCGAACTGAAGAAGCAGCTCGAGCTTGACAAACCTCTTAAGGAATACTGGTTTGTAGCTCAAGCTGAACTGAGCATTGAAGGTGTCAACGATACGGAAGAATTCCAAATGACAGACGAAGCTTTCGATATTTTGAACTTCTCGACTGAAGAGAAAATGGATTGTTACCGTTTAATGTCTGCTCTTATGCACATGGGTGGCATGAAATTCAAACAGCGACCACGTGAAGAACAAGCTGAGCCAGATGGCACTGATGAAGCCGAGAAGGCATCGAAAATGTACGGTGTCGGTTTTGAGGAGTTCCTCAAGGCTTTGACTAAGCCTCGTGTAAAGGTAGGAACTGAATGGGTATCAAAGGGTCAGAATATCGAACAAGTGAACTGGGCCATCGGCGCTATGGCTAAGGGTCTTTACGCTAGAGTGTTCCACTGGTTGGTCAAGAAGTGTAACCTGACCCTTGATCAACAAGGAATTAGCCGTGACTACTTCATTGGTGTACTCGATATCGCCGGTTTCGAAATTTTCGACGTAAGTTCATACTTTTTTAACTAGTTATGTTCTTGATAGTAAATCCATTCTAATTAACAGATTATCTCTTTCAGTTCAACTCCTTCGAGCAGCTTTGGATTAACTTCGTAAACGAGAAGCTGCAGCAATTCTTCAACCACCACATGTTCGTCCTTGAGCAGGAAGAGTACGCTCGTGAAGGTATCCAATGGACCTTCATTGACTTCGGTCTCGATCTCCAAGCTTGTATCGAACTGATTGAGAAGGTAAGTCAGCAAATAAATTAGGTCTCTTAGTGAAGATAATGACTCATGTTTTCAGCCGCTGGGTATCATCTCCATGCTTGACGAGGAGTGTATCGTACCGAAGGCCACTGACATGACCCTGGCTCAGAAGCTTAACGAACAACATTTGGGTAAACACCCGAACTTCGAGAAGCCCAAGCCACCAAAGGGAAAGCAGGCCGAGGCTCACTTTGCCATGCGGCACTACGCCGGAACTGTGCGATACAACGTAACCAACTGGCTCGAGAAGAACAAGGATCCTCTCAACGACAGCGTTGTCAGCGTCATGAAACAATCCAAAGGGCAACGACCTTCTCGTCGAAATCTGGCAAGACTACGTTACCCAGGAAGAAGCTGCAGCCGCCCAGAAAGGTCAGTTCCCAGTTTTGTAGTTGCTCTCCATCACTTTAGTAAATGATGAATTTTCAGCCGGGCAGGCTCAGGCAAAGAAGAAGGGAAAATCCGGATCGTTCATGACTGTCTCTATGCTTTACCGTGAATCTCTCAACAACTTGATGAGTATGCTAAACAAAACTCACCCTCATTTCATCCGTTGCATCATCCCCAACGAGAAGAAGGCCTCTGGTGTCATTGATGCCGCGCTGGTGCTCAATCAGCTGACATGTAACGGTGTACTGGAAGGTATTCGTATTTGTCGAAAGGGTTTCCCCAACAGAACTCTTCATCCCGACTTCGTCCAACGTTACGCCATCTTGGCCGCCAAGGAAGCGAAATCCGATGAGGACAAGAAGAAGTGCGCTGATGCCATTATGTCAAAACTGGTAAATGATGGAGCCATCACAGAGGAAATGTTCCGTATCGGTCTCACAAAGGTGTTCTTCAAAGCTGGTGTTCTCGCTCATCTTGAAGATCTTCGAGACGAGAAGCTGGCCATCATCATGACCGCATTCCAAGCACAGATCCGCTGGTACCTTGGACTTGTCGACCGCAAGCGCAAGATGGAACAGCGAGCTGGACTGCTCATTGTCCAGAGAAATGTTCGCTCATGGTGCACACTGCGCACCTGGGAATGGTTCAAGCTGTACGGAAAAGTCAAGCCTATGCTCAAGGCAGGAAAGGAAGCCGAAGAGTTGGAGAAGGTCAACGAGAAGGTCAAGCAGCTCGAAGATGCCCTTGCCAAGGAAGAGAAACTGCGCAAAGATCTCGAAGACCAGTCAACCAAGCTCTTGGAAGAGAAGAATGGCTTGTTCACCAACCTCGAAAGCACAAAGGGACAACTCTCCGAGGCTGAAGAGCGCCTCGCTAAGTTGCAGGCTCTCAAGGGTGACGCCGACAGACAGCTAGCGGTAAGTATGCCTACTTTACTGCTTTATAATTCTTATCTGAGATCATGCTTAAACAATATTTTTGGAGGGAACCATAAAGATGATTTTTACAGGAGCTGAACGATCGTCTCGCCGACCAGGAAGACCGCAACGCTGACGTACAGCGCGCCAAGAAGAAGGTAGAGGCCGAACTGGAATCCCTCAAGAAGCAAATCCAAGACCTCGAGATGAGCTTGCGAAAGTCGGAATCCGAGAAGCAATCCAAGGACCACCAGATTCGTTCTCTCCAGGATGAAATGGCTCAGCAAGATGAATCTATCGCCAAGCTCAACAAAGAAAAGAAACACCAGGAGGAAATTAACCGCAAACTCATGGAGGATCTGCAGTCCGAAGAAGACAAATCCAACCATACCAACAAGGTCAAGGCTAAGCTTGAACAGACCCTTGATGATCTCGAAGACGGTCTTGAACGTGAGAAGAGAGCTCGCGCTGATCTCGACAAGCAGAAGAGAAAGGTTGAGGGAGAATTGAAGATAGCCCAGGAAAATATCGATGAGGGCGCACGTCAACGCCACGATCTTGAGAACAACTTGAAGAAGAAGGAGGGCGAACTTCACTCGCTCAGCAGCAGACTCGAAGATGAACAGGCACTAGTCGGCAAGCTCCAGCGCCAAATCAAAGAGGGACAAAGCCGCATTTCGGAACTCGAGGAGGAACTCGAAAACGAACGCCAGTCCCGAGCAAAGGCTGATCGCGCTAAGTCTGATCTCCAGCGCGAGCTTGAAGAGCTCGGAGACCGCCTTGATGAACAGGGTGGTGCTACCGCAGCTCAGGTGGAGCTCAACAAGAAGCGCGAAGCTGAACTTTCTAAACTACGCCGTGACCTCGAGGAGGCCAACATGAACCATGAAAACCAACTCGGAGGACTCCGTAAGAAACACACCGATGCAGTTGCAGAACTCACTGATCAACTCGATCAACTGCAGAAGCAGAAGGCCAAGATCGAGAAGGAGAAGATTCAGGCTCACCAAGAGGCTGAGGAACTCGCCGCGCAACTCGATGCTGAAACATCTGCTAAGCTGAACAACGAGAAGCTCGCTAAGCAGTTCGAACTTCAGCTCACCGAATTGCAGTCGAAGTGCGACGAACAATCTCGCCAACTGCAAGACTTCACTTCCCTCAAGGGCCGTCTCCACAACGAGAACAGCGATCTCAGCCGTCAGCTAGAGGATGCCGAATCTCAGCTCAACCAGTTCTCGAGACTGAAGAGCCAGCTGACCAGCCAGCTCGAAGAAGCTCGTCGCACCGCCGATGAGGAGGCACGTGAACGCCAGACACTCGCTGCCCAGGCCAAGAACTACCAACATGAAGCAGAACAGCTCCAGGAAAGCTTAGAAGAGGAGATTGAATCCAAGAACGAGATCATGCGTCAACTCAGCAAGGCCAACGCTGAAATCCAACAATGGAAAGCACGATTCGAAGGAGAAGGACTTATCAAGGCCGACGAACTCGAGGATGCTAAGAGACGCCAAGCTCAGAAGATCAACGAGCTCCAAGAAGCTGTGGACGCTGCCAATTCCAAGATCGCCTCACTCGAGAAGACCAAGAGCCGTCTTGTTGGAGACCTCGATGATGCTCAGGTGGACGTTGAGCGTGCGAACGCCTTCGCCAGTGCTTTGGAAAAGAAGCAGAAAGGTTTCGATAAGGTCATCGACGAGTGGAGAAAGAAGACCGACGATCTCTCCGCTGAACTCGATGCGGCCCAGAGAGACTCGCGCAACACCTCTACTGAACTCTTCAAGGCAAAGAACGCCCTAGAAGAGCTTCACGAAGTCGTTGAGGGTCTCCGTCGTGAAAACAAGAGCTTGACTCAGGAGATCAAGGACCTCACTGACCAACTTGGCGAAGGAGGCCGTTCTGTGCACGAGATGCAGAAGATCATTCGCCGTCTGGAAATCGAGAAAGAGGAGTTGCAGCACGCTCTTGATGAGGCAGAAGCTGCCTTGGAAGCAGAAGAAAGCAAGGTCCTCCGAGCCCAAGTCGAAGTGTCGCAGATCCGATCGGAGATTGAGAAACGTATCCAGGAGAAGGAGGAAGAATTTGAGAACACCCGCAAGAACCATCAACGTGCTATGGACTCAATGCAAGCCTCTCTTGAGACTGAAGCCAAAGGAAAGGCTGAACTCCTCAGGGTTAAGAAGAAGCTCGAAGCCGACATCAACGAATTGGAAATCGCACTGGACCACGCCAACAAAGCCAACGCTGACGCACAGAAGAACTTGAAACGATACCAAGAACAAATTCGTGAGTTGCAATTGCAAGTTGAAGAGGAACAGCGACAGCGCGACGACATCCGCGAGCAGTTCTTCAACGCTGAAAAGCGAGCCACTCTTCTGCAATCCGAGAAGGAAGAACTGTTGGTAGCCAATGAGGCCAGCGAACGCGCACGCAAACAGGCTGAGTACGAAGCTGCTGATGCCCGTGACCAGGTCAACGAGCTATCCGGACAGGCTGCTTCTCTGGCCGCCTCGAAGAGAAAGCTCGAAGGAGAAATCCAGGCCATCCATGTGAGTTTGCTTTACTCTTATAACCCTCTAGGCATGACTTACAAAGAAAACCATTCCAGGCAGATCTTGATGAGACCCTCAACGAGTTCAAGGCTTCGGAGGAGCGCAGCAAGAAGGCTATGGCAGACGCAACCCGTCTTGCCGAGGAACTTCGCCAAGAACAAGAACACTCGCAACACATTGACCGTATGCGTAAGGGACTGGAGCAGCAGTTGAAGGAGATGCAAGTTCGTCTCGATGAAGCTGAAGCTGCAGCTCTGAAGGGTGGAAAGAAGGTATGAAATGAGTATGAACCAGCCTCTTATAACTTGTAGGCCGCATTTGAACGATCATATTAAGGTCATTGCCAAACTCGAACAGCGTGTACGTGAGGTTGAGTCGGAGCTCGACGCTGAACAGCGCCGATACCAGGAAGCCAACAAGAACCTTGGCAAGGCTGACCGACGAGTTCGCGAACTCCAGTTCCAGGTAAGGGTTTCCCTTGTGTTTCTTGAAGATCCCTGGGTATGACAGCCTTGTTTCAAGGTTGACGAAGGACAAGAAGAACTTCGAACGCCTACAAGATCTCATCGACAAACTCCAGAACAAGTTGAAGACCCAGAAACGACAGATTGAAGAAGCGGTACGTATAGATTTCAAGTTGGCTACCTAGAATCAGATCGAGCACATTTTCGGTGGTGTTTTACACTGGCGATCAAATTTCACTTGACAGAAGAGCGCAGCTGCCACCGTGAAAGCAAGCAGTGCTATAAAACCTCGTTGACGACATCTCTCAACCAAAGACCGATATGTGTGATACTTTCAGGAAGAGGTCGCTAACCTCAATCTGCAGAAATACCGTCAAATTCAACACCAACTCGAAGATGCTGAGGAACGAGCTGATGTCGCCGAGAACTCGCTATCAAAGATGAGAGCCAAGTCACGAACGGCCTCCTCAGTTGCTCCAAGCGGCCTTCAGACTTCACAATCAGCCGCTGTGCTACGGTCACCATCTCGTAGCCGTGCTAACGACTTCTAGATATGTAACATCATTTCACCACAACATTTCGCATAGTAAAGGATAATAAAATATTTCACGGTAATAATTTTCGTATAATAATAGCCTAGAGTCGTTTAGTGGATTTACTTACTGACAGTTGTTTTACTTGTGAGAAACGGTGACCAATGCGATCACTGTTCACATTTTTCTCGATTTCTAGATATTGTTGTATAGAGCATTAAAATGTTATCATTCACCTAAGGAAAGTTAGTCGAATGAAGGACTTTGACTTAAAGGCTCTACATCCCTGGAAGTATTGGTCGTATAGCCCTATACATCCCATATAACAATGCTCTAAGCAACTTAGTTGAGCCACGCCGTGCACTGTGAGATGGACAGTTCCGCGACAGCAGAAGCTTTAGCACTTTTGCCCCAAGGAAATCGGTGACAAGGACGCAGTGATGCAGTGATTCGTGTTTGTCCACGCCCACCCACTTATAAGGAACAAAACAAATAGAACAGTACGAAAACACCCAGAAACAGAGAGGTCAACAACTTGCTTTAAAAAACACATTACCACCACCTTGGCAAAATATCACTGAATGAAAGGGAAATCCTGCATTCATACATACTTCACCATCCAACTCGTTTCACTCGCACGACCAAGTCCGAGGGGGCTCCTCTACCAAAAATATGCACCCCACAACGGCAGCATTTGAATCAGCCTAGTTCCTGCACTGTGCACGCGGCCCAAACTGAATTCTGACATTGTGGCAGTGCACCGTTCAGCGGTGAAGCGTCGTTGTCACGCGATTCAATCGCTCGAGCAATGCGATCATAATCCAAACAATTGGATCGCGAAGTCTGGATGCGCTCTAAAACACGCCCTTCTCTCGCCAGCGTTCTTAACTTCATCGAATATTGCAGTCCTCATCATTGCGGACTGTCGGGGCGGCTGAGCCGCGCTGCACTGTGACGCGACAGCGGCTGCGGCTCGGTGACGGCGAATCAGCTGATTTCCATGGAATTCGGCTGCGAATTCCCACTTTTTCAGCTCTTCAAGCTTCGAAAGTGGAAGGTGAGTTATTTTGAACAATTTTAAATTGTACTGACTCTGAATGAATCTGAAAGAATGTAAGCCATTTGAATAAATGCCTGAAATAAGGCAAAATACAAGGAAAAGAGCATAAAAATAAAGGAAATCAGAGCCAGTACAATTCAAAATTGTTCAAAATAACTCACCTTCCACTTTCGAAGCTTGAAGAGCTGAAAAAGTGGGAATTCGCAGCCGAATTCCATCGAAATCAGCTGATTCGCCGTCACCCGCTGTCGCGTCACAGTGCAGCGCGGCTGTGCCGCCCCGACAGTCCGTAATGATGAGGACTGTATCTATCTGAGAGGGTTCAGACGAGCAGACAACGGGCATGCTCCCCTCTAGTTACCAACTAGCACTCTTCTTACCATTAGGCACGTAGTAGATGAGCGAAACAGAATCAAAAGGACAGAAGGGTGTCAGACGCGCTAGAACCCTGACAAAGTGCGAATGAAAAGTAGTAAAGGTACGTTAATTCGAGTATCAGCTCTCGTCCTAAAGCAGTGATTTGAGAAAAGAAAATTACAAAAGGAATCATAATTCAGAGGGTACTCTCGTAAATATGAGGACCTAAAAAGTCTAACAAGGGGTATAGTTGAAACGTCGCGCTCAGGCGAAGGGTTAGAAAGGAGCCGAATGAGCACGCTTCGTGCTGCAGTCACAAACAGCAAAAGTGGAGAATTCCCGTGGTTCAGGATAATCGACGACAAGGATTTAAACGCCGACAACTGATTACACTCAAAACCCCTGACAAGGGATATCTTTCAGGGCGTGGCGAGCTTTTGGGAAATGGTTTGTTGTTTGTTGTCGGGGTCCATACAAGGACCACAAAATTGGTTTCATTTTTGCTATGCGTTTCTGGGAGGTCAAAAACTGAGTGAAAAGAATTTGACAAGAATGGGCGATTTTAACTATCTTAATGGGCTCCGTTCTGATTGTAACTTCGAGCATGCATAGTTTATGAGGTGCTCGTTAATTAGGCTTCGGAAATAGTTTTGAATAAAGTCAAAATGTAAGTATCATGTAGTAACACACTTGGCATGCACCGACGCAACAGTGATGTTTTTGAAAGCGGTCCCCTCATGCTCACTGTCGATCGGATGGCGCAGCGGATAACGCGATGAATTCTGGATGGGACGACGATACCAGAATTTGTTTATCGGATCCTCTTTGTGGCAAGCTTTTTAGCATTTCTCAGCTTTCTATTCATTCGCGTTCCTGTGTGTCTAGCAGTGGAAAGTTGTTAGATTTGTCTATCAAGGAAGTGAAAGGTTAACGTAACGAGAACATTCCCGGAAACAGGCTTTTCCAGACAACCGAGCACAGGAACGCGAATGATCAGTAAGCTGAAAAATGCAAAAAAACTTGGATCAAGGAGGATCCGATCCAGAAAGTCCCGTATCGTCGTCCCATCCAGAATCCATCGAAGTTATACGCTGCGCCAGCCGATACCCGACAGCGAGCATGAGGGGACTGTTGCGTCGGTGCATGCCAAGTGCGTTAGTGCATGATACTTACATTTTGACTTTATTTGAAACCATTTTTGAGGCTTGATTATCGAGCGCCTCATAAACTATGCATGCTCGAAGTTGCAATCAGTAACGGAGCCCATTGAAGATAGTTAAAATCGCCCATTCTTGTCAAATTTTTTCACTCAGTTTTGACCTCCCCAGAAACGCATAGCAAAAATGAAACCCATTTTTGTGATCCTTGTATGGACCCCTACAACAAGCAACAAACCATTTCCAAAAAGCGCGCCATGACCTGAAAGACCTCCCTTGTGAGATGCAGAAGGCGCGGCTGCGTACTTTAAACGTGGTGGTGGCTGCGCTTCTGGAGAGAAATTTTCATTTTGACACAATTGTGGTCACGTCTCTGTCCAAGACTGGAAGAGATGTTAGTTGTCTCAAACTGAAATATCCCGCGAGTAACCCATCCTATGCTACGTTCAAATGCCAACCTACTCCGTCTCAGAGATAAGTAGGACATGTGAGTATCTCCCAATAGCGAATGAGCGACTCGAATGATTCCGCAGTTTGGAATCGCTCGATTCCTATATAGTCCACTACCACTGATTCTATCGATTCTCTCGAAATGCGAATTCTCTAGCTTCGCAGAGTGTAAAGGCAGTCTAAGCGCCATGAATAGGTCTGAGGCGAAACTCATTAAAACCAGAATCCAGATGCAAAGGAAGAAGATGAAACAACGCCCAGTCAAGGAATACTGGAAGGATGACAATCATGCAAGGATTTCACTGGAAACGGGACTTTTCTCGGAGGATAACAGCGCTCCATGCCGTGAGCAGCAATATGCTGTGGAACAGTGTGCTATGAAGGCTGGTGAAGACTAACCGAGCGATAGAAACGTGCTGAGGCTGATGTTCTATAGCGGTGCAATGGAGAAAAACGATGACGAAGGGCTCGACATCAAGCGGAATCATGAAAAATGACAAGAACCAAGTAATGGATGAGACTTCGTTAAGCAGCAGTCACTGACGTTCAAGTGTTCCTCGACGCTTGAAGGCCAGGTGTACCATGGCAAGATGAGGAAAGTGTCGCTCAGATAGGAACTACCAGATTATAACTCGACGTCTGTGAAGAAATCAACAGAAACCATCCAGAGAAAATGCTAGAATCAGGACCACTCCCAGTTCCGAAAATCGTACGAATTTGCCAAACTACCAACATCCCATGCAACATGCAGTGTCCTTGAGAGGACCACCCTCTAAAAACTCACTGTGAACAGTACTGACAACCTTATTCAGTATGTTTATTTTGCCTTTCGAGGTTTTTAAGTGGAACAGTTTATTTTAGCGGCCTCACGTTCCGAAGTAACCGTCTTTTTTAACGATCTCTGTTGCACCGCAAGCGGAATAACCCGGAATAACTTAATGGCCTATTCACTGGTGGTCCTAATGGTATAGCGGGTTATTCCGCTTGCGGTGGAACAGAGGCCTTTGAAAAAGACGATTACGTCGAAACGTCAGGCCGCTAAAATAAACTGTTCCACCTAAAAACCTCGAGAGGCACAAGAAAACATACTGAATAAGAACAACTAACATGCCGAGGTTACAAAATGAGAGAAGCTAGAGAGTACTGACAATCGTATCACATATGCAGGCAAAACTGTCAGAAACTTTATTAAACAAATATTACACACGAAAATAAAGAGTAGTGGCAAATCAACAAAAGGACGATCTGTCGAAGAACAATCTTGGATCACTCCTATTATCAAATCAGTCATCAGTGGCACACTCATGAACAATTGAAAACACACTCGCAAAAAAATTTGGGAGGCCATGAAGGCAAGACTAGTTTGCCCCGACGTTCTTACCCCTATAATCTTACCCAGTTATGGTCTCTAGAGTTGGGAGTCAAAGCTCTCGACTCTAGCCCGCAACTGTGTCGGGAAGAGATGCCATTTACTGTACTTGAAAACCGTTCCCGTCCGAATCTGTGTCTTGTTGAGGAACACATTTGACTGATGCTGCTGCAATCCGGTGAGGCGGTGTGAGAAGGCGTGGAGCGAGCTCACCCGTGCTGTTTTTACCACTGTTGTTTTCTACCTCATGCGGCCTCTAATGGTAAAAAGCCAGGATAGGCTTAGTCCATGCCTGAGACCATCCGTTGGACTAAGACCATATAAACTGAATCCATTCAGGCGTCTCCTAAATGAAATGGAAAAGTCCTACGTCAAAAGAAAAATCGTAGTAATTTTTCTTTCAT